TTCAATATACGTCCTTGGTCAGCTTCAGTTTGTTTTATTTGTGTGGGTGTGTATATGTGTGTGCATGCATATGTGTATGCCTGTGTGTATGCATGTGTGTGAATGCATGCATTCATGTGTGGGTGTGATTCATAGTCAACATATACCTCAAAGATGATCTATCTTGATAATCTAGTTTTTTTCCTTGACTTGTAGTTGAGTGTTATCCATTTTAATCGTGCAACCATCCTTATTTCTGTCACCATTTTTGCCAGTTAAGCTTTGAAAGGAGCGTTCTTAAAAAAAATAAACTCACTTTTAGAAACAAACCAATATCTATCCATGAATATTTTTTTTAAAGTCTTTAAGTATAACAGAGAAAGGTGTTAGCTGAATATCAGGACAACCATAACAAACAGTGAAGCAATCTATGTACTTCTTTATTTCTTAATGAACAATCACCCCAAGTACAAAACAATAGATAAGAACACATATATATGAATGTTTTTTGCAGGCTGACAGGAATTTAGAGTATGTGTTTGAGACTTGCAGTGCAGCAGACATGCAAATGTGGCTAGAAGATATCAAAGAAAGCATGGGCCCAAACAACAGAAATGGGTGGGTAATTAAAAAAGCATCAGACTGATTTATACTTCTCACAACACACAATCAATTTTGCATTTGGATCAGTTATCACATTGCCATATTCCCTGTCCTACCTTGATAAACCTTGTAGCACTAGACTAAGCTTGCTCTTCCATAATGAACAACAATTGCAGTGTTTGCTCTGAAATTCCGCACCCACTGACATAATTTTAATGTAGGGCAAATAATTAAATTTAATCCATATCAATTCTATATAGCTAAATGAATTATTTAACTGTATATGAAAAATTAATTTTGATAGAAAAATTAATTTTGATAGCAAGAGTTCAACTTTTCTTGAAATATCTTATGTACATTTTAATATTTTGCTTCATTTTAGTGTCAACCCGATGCGGTGCACTTGATTGATCATCAATTTCCATTTATTACTGTGTTTTCATTAACCTAATGAAAAATTGTTTAAATTTTATTTTGTTCTTGTTATTGTATTTGTTCCTATTCAGTCGCAGCTTGCCAAGTCTCCAACCTTCATTACATGAAGTTTCTGGTAAGCTAAATTAGTCATAGTTTTGTATAAAAACACCATGCTGACAATTTATAATAATAATAATAATAACTAGACTGCAACTGGCTGAAGCCAGTGGCGCGGAGGATTCCCTTGCAAAATAGCTGTGGAAAGGATCTTACAAGGTCATGTGAAGGTCATGGGTTAAATTTGACCCCATATTCTGAAAGAGCATGTGCGAATGGGGGGGGGGGGCGGGTCAACAAAACATA